ACCCTTCACTAGTCCTGCAAAGTGGGAGCACGCGCTGAGGCTCATCGGCATCGGACCATCATTGGTGCAATCCACTGGCCGAAGCGAGGCGCGAGCCTCCGCCCCAGCAAATGTGTTAAGTGAAGGCATTGATCAGAAGGGCGATAGCTCGCCTGTTAGTAGAATTCTGCTGTTCATCAACGTCCAAGCTAGGTGAACAACGCGAGCCGGCAAAGAACTGCAAGGTAATCCGCGTCACCGAGAACGAGGACGGAACATCAGAAAGCTGCCGACAATGGCTAGCCCAGGAGATTGAAGCGTTCAAGAAAAGCCACCCAAATGGAATGGTATTCTTCTACGCGTCACTTCCATGCACCGGAGGCAGTCCCTGGACGAATGTGAACAAAGATCTGCCAAATGGTAGCGAACGGATCGCGGAGCAGCAGCAACTCTTCGGTAAGCTATTTAAAAGCTTCAAGCGCTGCGTTGCAAACGCTAGCCCGCACAAGCCAAGTGTAACGTTCGAGCTCTCAAAGAATTGCAAGTACTGGTCTTGGCCCAGCGTGCAGAAATTTATCAATGACTATAAGCTACAACAGTACGCCTTCCACGGAGTTCGGTCTTAAGGGATTGAGTGGCAAGCCTTTGAAGAAAGGATGGAAGATAGCTACTGATGTACCACAGCTTAATGTGCTAGTTTCACATGCGATGGTAGCCACACACATGAACAGTCCAGAGGCAAATCTTTGAAATTTGCTGAAGGCTACACATTTGAGTTGACTGACACGTTGCACGAGGCATTCCGTTTGTGTTCCGTAGATTCCTCGAGGCCCAAACCCATTCGAGCAGCCGTTTGCCTCGCAGTGCCCATCATGACTGAGCGGGAGCGTCACTACTCCGAACACCAGAAGGAGATCCTCCGTGGATGGGACACGCTATTTCAGAGGCTTCTGACAAGCTCAATCTTTGCCGATGTCGGGCAAGATCAGGGTGCTCAGGAGATGGCTTTGGGCTTAGCCCACGACCACACGGCGCAGTCCGCGGTTGACACCTGGCGGGAAAGCTATGAATGTGTGCAGCGCATCCTGAACCCATTCATCGAGGCCAAGCGAAGCAGCCTAGCTTATCACCGCCCGCCGTCAGCAGTGACAGGCCCAGTGTACCAAGTGCTTGCGAGCGACAGTACACTGGCAATGGTGTCAGGCGGAAAGAAGACTCGTGTGTGTGTCATGACTTGGAACGAGCATTCCATGACAATCGATGCCGGCGCGCGCTACAATTTCACCACGAGATGCACTGGGGCGCCGAGTTGCGGACGCTCATCAAGCGCGCCATCATTTGCGCAAGAGCCATCCGCAAAGATGTGCCCGATGCTCGAATCTACGTGAATGTGGTGAGGGCTGGCAACGAGCTCGTGGGCGAGAATGGGATCGTGTCTACCAACCGATATCCCTACGCAGAGGCAAAGGGCGACCCTATCAAATGTGCATTTGATACGAAAAGCCGATATCCAAGCCGATACGAAAAGGCATTTGACCTGGTATGTCGAGCAGGGTCGGAAAGCTGGATGCAATGTCCTAGCCTTGTCGTGCATCCCAAACGCAAACATTTATGATTTGCACAACATCTATACGCACTTCGGCAAGGACATCAAGCACTGGTTCCGAGAGACCTTTGCGGAACCGGATGTCGTGATCATCGATCTGGATCCGCTCTTGTGGCAGATGGAGTTGAAGGATCAATATCACATGACGTTTTGTGATAAAAACCAATCACGGGGTCTCAGCTGGTTTAATGCCAACTTTTACATCCTTCACCTGTCCGCCATCCTCTCGCCCCATTTGCCCGGAATGATCGACGCCAATCAGCGGAATGGCACAAGAGACTTGAAGGTGCTAGACGCAAGTCTCAGCCTCAGCCCATTCACGCCAGCCAGCGCGAAGAGTACAGGCAAGCTGTCATTGATGTGATCCATCGAAGAGAGGAAAGCAAGAAGCGCATTGAGGCCGCCTCCAGGCCATTGACCGTCGAAGAGGTTCGCCGTGAACAGCCAGACCTCGACGAGTACATGGAAGAGGACGAAATCATGGAGCTTCCAATCGCTGTGGCCGCCAAGACAGAAGAGCCGATGGATGATGACGCTCCACCAGTGGCAATCGCCCGCACAGCAGTGAAGGAAGAAAGTGATGATGAAGAGGAGCCTGGAGCGGAGGCCGAAGCCGCACAGTCAGTGCAGCCTCCACAGGCTAGCCCGAAAGCAGAAGCATCGCCCTCAGCATCATCTGCTCCCAAGAAGGAGAACACTCGCGCAGGACGAATCACCAAGGAGCAGTGGGAGACCAGGCTTATCGACAGCCAGTTCGACGAGACGTACATCACCAACCATCACCTGACTGGTCAGGCTGAATATCGGTACACCGAGGTGGAAGATGTACATGGCAAGATCGTGCCTGGAGTGGTAGTCGATGGCCATCCCTACGAGCTCATCCTCATCAGCGGCTGGGACTTTAGCTCTCCACCAAGGTGGTACCGATTGCCACGAAGAGTCATTTGACGAGGGCATCTGGCATCTTCCAAAACCACATCACTACGAACGATTGGGATTCGGAGCATGACGAAGACAGGTTCCTTGACTTGAACCAGTTTGTCAGTGCACTCTTCGCTGAGTTGCCCGAAGCCCGCATGAAAGTGACGGACCTGATGCACATGGCAAAACTCGACAACAAGAACAGGTTCGAGTTCCTCGCAATTGCCGGCCACCAGAGAGCCACAGGAATCAACCAGACTTACTGGCCACTGAAGATAAGGGCAGCTACAGGCCACAACAACGTGTTCATTCGCTCGGAGAATGACTTGTTTTTCAATGCCGACGTTTTGTACGTCAGACATCAGGACGCCGGCAGAGACCTTTCCGATTTTCGCGGCACTGGCGCGCCCGTCATGGAGAGCATCGAGGACGTTTCACGCTGCAATCAAGGGCGTTCAGCAAGACGGCCTGCTGGTCGGCGGTGGAGCCCGGCGCAACTCCGGCAGAGCCCACATCTACTTGGCTCGAAATCAGATTCGCCAAAATGAAGTGGCGCCGGGAAATCGGAGGCTCAATCCGATCGAAGTTGTTGTTGCTCTGCGTGAGGCAGTAGCCGATGGCCTGATCTGCTTTACGACCAAGGCGGGTGCCATTTTGTCACCTTACAATATCTCGAGCGCATATATTGTCCACATCCGGATACCGAGAAGGACATCATCCTCTGGTCGAGGTCCAATGCGACAAGGGTCATTCCAAAGGCGCCGGCAGCCTCCCGCGAGGGAGTGCCCACTACTGCACCTTTGGCAAGCCATTCAGGAAGCAGATGGAACCTGCACCGACTCAGAAGAGGGAGCGCCCCGCCGCGGAAGAGCCAGAGGCCGAGGAAGACGTGGAGATCATCACCCCAGAGCCGCCTCAGGAAGTCCAGCGGGAAAACATCCCGACTGAAGAAGTCATGTGTCCAGGATGCGGTGCAAACCTTGTCAGCGGCACCATCGTGTGTCCCGCACGCAATACGAACATCACTGGCACATCTGAGGTGAAGCGTGGCGTCCTCGCGAAGAGAAAGGAGCTGCTCAACAAGCTCGGCTACAAGTATCTTGATGCTGATACCATCGAGAGAATCGGCAGCCAGAGCAAGCAGTTCCGCGAGGAATCTGCCCGAGGTAATCGCAGTCCTGAAGGCGATTACATCGGAACTGCAGCAGTTGAAGAGAGCCATCGGCCTGGGGTATACATCGATGGCTGACCGCTATGGGAACGCCGAGCAGTTCGTGGAACGGATGACCGCGCAACATTACCTTGCTCGACATCCAGTTGCGTGACATAGTGGCTCACGGCCATCTTCCCATGCCTCCACGCACTCGAGCTCAGGTTGATCTTGAGTGGGATAGCGGACCGCCAATGACCTGGATTTTGCGAAATTGATGTACGTTGACGAAGACATCGCGGACATCACAAGCAGCGATCCAGGGCTCTTGGAACGCTTTGAACACTCCCATTGGGTGATCATCTGGAAGCGTGAGCTCTATTCCCTCAAGGAATTTCAAGATCTCTGCGATCATCGCAAGAGCCGGGGAAAAGGAACCAACTTGTTGACCTTTACCTGCGTCATGGAGATCATCGAGACGCCTACCTTGAGAGAGCTTCACGAGACCATTGACAGCTCCCTGCCAGTAGCCCAACAGCTCGTGCAAAGCAAGCGTGAGCAGAGCGAGCGGGCAACTGAAAGGAATGCGGCGAAGGGTCGCGGCAAGGCTAGCAGAACGCACGTTGCTGCGCCGCGGACACCTCCAAAGGCCGCGCCCAGCCAAAGGGTTGCCCCGATCGCTGAGCCAGAGGGAGAAAGCTCACCAAGTGCTGGCGTCAATGCGATTGGTACGATCGACATTCGCCAAATGCCGACGGCAAAGTTTCCTCCGAGCCCACCGACTACCTTGCTGCATCCATCTGCCCCGAAGACGCCGCCAATTCCCTCGCCAGCGTCAACCACAACATCCAAATCGGTGCCTGTGAGAGATGCAAGAGAGGGAGCTCTCCGCACAGCTCGTGCTGCTGCCCGAGAGCATCAAGATGGCGATCAATGAGGGTATACTACACCTACTACCAGGGCCAATGGTGGACGCGCGACCAGTATGGGCGGTGGTCGACCGGAAGCTGGCGATCATACTAAATTCGAGCTGCATGCATTCTAAGCATATGCCATAGAGTGGTCTTTAAAAGAAGATCCATGCTGGCATCATAGCTTAGCCCGATCACAGCTGCTAATTCACGCGTCGCTAGTGAAAGCAGAGGGGGGTGTTGAAATACATCACCCAATGCTATGCTTTTACGCAGCATGCCAATTCTTGGCTCAAGCACGCAGCTCATCGCGACAAAAAGGAGCGCTAGCAGTTGCAGCTTAGCGGAATTTGACTGTATTTTAGTGGTTGAGCCTGAAAATACAGCGTATTATATAATTTGTATTACTTTCTCGCAAAGTGCATTGTCTTAGGTTGGAGGCACATGCCCAATGTGTCCCGAGAATTGTTATGCGTGCAACAACGCCGAGGACTTGTCAACAAGTACAATGAGTTTATGAAGTTATATATATATATATTTATATCTTTATAGTATGTATACGAGTTGCAAACCATTGAGTTGGGACAAGCACACACGATCTAGGTCTTGTTTGGCCACCACGTAGAAAAGGGAAGAGACGAATTTAAGAGACAAATCAGGAACCTTTGAAAGGCAAGGAATATGTGTATTAATTAATATATACAGAAAAGTTTCGATCATTCATTGGCCTTTTTGAAGAACAAGGCTGCCAGTGCTAGGAGTGCACGGTTTGCAACAACAACACCCATCTCACGGCGTATGGACAGTGCAGATCAGAGTGTCCAGCAGGAGCGTTGGCTGAGCAAGGTTCCGCTGTATTGCGTAGGCCGAAGCAATGGTTCCACCCATTATTTACACCCTTCATAAAGTGAACTGAATTGGCGATGCAGCTTCAGACTACATCAGAGCAGCTGCGTACCTCCAAGAATCCTACGTCCAGGTAGAGGTTTAGATGATTCTTCGTCCAATTTTGTCTGTTGACGCTTGCAATCGACTCTGAAATTAGCAATTGAACAAGCATTTGGCCCATGCACTGGCCCCTGAGGATACTACGAAAACGTCACCAGCGGCATTGATGGAAACTGCCTCAGGTTCCTGTTTACTCGCTTTGATAAGTTGTTTGACAAGGGAAGCGATGTATGACTGTCAAGAGACTAGGCTCCTTCACTCAAGAAGTGCCTTGTGTGATGTCCCTAATTGCAGGTCCACTTGAGCTGCTTATGTAGTCCAGGATTCCAAGCTGGGTTTGTTTGCTCTAAGTTTTTCTACTTCTTGAGCTTTATTGTTCTGCCTTATCAACTTCTGAATATACCTTGGTTCCCTCCCTTCCCTTCCAAGTGCTTTGCGGTTTGTTTGTGGTGTTTTGACTAACCACAGGTCAGTGCAAAAGCCACCATTTGTTTTCTTGTCACGAGACTATTTTTGGCTTGTCTAGCAGCTAGACTATAGAATAGGTGGAGTTGTTTTTGCATCAGCAAGACTTTGACAGGTGTCAAACAGAGGGGAACTGGTTTATGTTATTATTGTATTCATGGAACAGCAAGAGACGGGATCGCCCTTGTAGAACCAGTAATTGCTGAATGATCGTTGCTCGGCGTATAGCATCTGCAACGCGGTCGACTTGCGCCAGTGACAAGGGTCTTGCCAACTGCTTTGGTAGTTGAATTACTCTGGTTGGCAGGCCACCTGAGTGTGCCTTTGGAGAAATCTTCCAAGCATTCACAGTTCTCCCATTTTTGCTCTCATTCACTGATGGTTGGTTTTTTGGATGGTTTGGTTAGTTTGGTTTGATTGGAAATGGGGTGGGGCTTGAAACATGTGATTTGTGTCGTGCTTGTGCGGCCCTGCACTCCCATGGGAGGTCTTTGCAGTGGTGGTTTCTGACGTGCACTGGTGCTAGTGGTGCAACTGCGTGCAGTCGGTGAATTTCGTTTTCGACTAATTTATGACAATTTATGCAACATACTATACTTTAACTTGGTGAAGTAATAAACCTTTGTGAACTGGCATGCTTGCCGCACCGAAGCACGGCTGGCGATGTTGGCCAAGTTGGGAGAGGTGTCAACAGAGCATCAGGATTGTTGCACTGCCTAACAAAATGCAAAAAAAACATGCAACCTCAGGTGCAAGCTCTCTGAGGTGACAACCACTGACCAACAGAAGAATTGGCTGTTCAATCTTAACCCACTGGGATGAAAAGAGCACAAGCAATCCCACACGTGATTTGGTAACACTAGTTGAATGGTGGAAAGTGTTATGCGCTCGCTAGAATGGATGCTCCTAGGTCCAAATATACATACTGTACATAGATATACTATACAATATATCTTGATCTAGCCGCCGAGCCGTCTGTATATACTATATAGAGTCTAGTTGAGTCTAGGACCTAGGAGTTTACGATAGCCGCGCTAGGAAGACCTCAACCCTAGACTCTAGACTTGTAGACCCCAGGTAGGCCTAGGGCCTCTAGTCCACAAAGATGGAAGAAGGAAATCCGAAAGCCAGCGCTTTGATTTCGCTTTTTTTTGCATTTCAATTTTGGCAGGTCAACCCCCCCACACTTTCGGCGCATTGTTTTTGCACTCGTGTTGCTCTTTTTTCGCTTATTTGTTCACACGTTTTTCGCATGTTGTTTGCTTTTTTTGCACTTCACTCGAGACATCCTCAAATCCCTGTCACGCCCCCCCCCTCGCCAGCCCCGTCCCCGCGCCACCCCGTCCCCAACCCCGCCCCCGCCCACGCGCCACACCTGTCCCCCGCCCTGCCGCCCAGCCAGGCCAAGCCCTTCCCCACCTGCCCCCCGTCCCGGCCCCTACCTGCCCACCTCAAACACCCACACACCAGCCAGATCCCGGATGGCACAGTCGCCCCACAACGCCACCGTATCAAACCACCGGTTTCTCTCTGTCTCAATTGACCTTTACCAACGGACAGATCGAAAAGATAATAAAAATCAAGAAACAAAGAGAGAAGAAAGAGAGAGAGAGAGAGAAGGAGAGCGCGAGGGAGTCCGCGCTTCCTTTTTTGTGGCAGTGGATCAATCTAGCCATTGTTTTGCACTTTGGTGAGCATATTTTTTGGATTGCATTGGCATCAACCTAGCCTTTTTTTGCATTGTTTGGTTGCTTTTATTTTGGATTTTAATTGCATTGTTTCAAGATGAGCCTTTCCTAGTGGAAGCCCACCAGAAAACAACACAACGCTATCGTTTCGAACATATCGTGAAATTTTGGGTTCGGTGCTAGTCAGGGTAATAAGGCTCCGCCTTCCAGAACTCTCGGGCTTCATGTGTCAGAATGTACTCCGAGCGAAACAATTCCTGCCAACAGCGTTTCATGTCTCGTACAACACCTTGTTCGATCACTCGCATATTTACTCGATGCAACAGGAGTCGTTTGATATATATATATATGTGTGTGTGAGAACAATTAACACTGACCACATGAGCATTTTGACAACGAATCAAAAGCTGGTGTTCATGAACTGTTGTGGCGGACTGGTTGCGTGAACAAATCAGCCTCGCAGAAGTCAGAAGTCTGTAGGGTTCTTGCACCCACATCACACAAGACGTTCGTCACTGATCATGCACATATTCAATGCTTGTTGCGTCAAATTGATTTGTGCACTGGGGAACCTTGAGTTTCCAACTAAATTCACAACGCGCCGGCTAAGGAGACGTGCACAGGGTATGTCTCCAATGCCCAGGACACTGCAACACCTGCGAGAATGGCCTTCGTTGCAGCTTCCCTTGTTATTGAAAAGTCACGAGAAGCCACAAGTGGATGACTCCTAGGGCTGAATGCACCGGCTCTCTTCCAATCTTCAATTGAGGCACCGAATGTAAGAATTCGCTCTATTTGACAGCAGAGCAGCAGTGCGAAAGTCTGGACCCTATATTTACCCTGGTCTTCACTTTGAACAAATTTAAAAGATACAGCCTTGCTCCCAGATAGCTGAAAGGTATAGGGGTTCTTGCTTCTCAATGACTGGGGGCTGGTTTGCGTTTTGGTCATTTGCTGCACTGCTTCCTTGTTTGACTTGTCTCCTTACATGTGATTGGCACTTTGTTTGCCACTGCTGCATTGTCTTGACTTGTCCGGGCCACGGAAGCGAACATGAAAAAGGATGGCGCCAGCAACAACGCCAAACAGCAAGAAAAGTGAAGAACAATATGGAAAGCAGGACGTGAGGGTAAGCAAGGAGACAGATCAGAGTTGATATGGCCTATGAGAGAAGGTGGCCCACGGTTTTGTAATAGCAAGACTGCTGGGGTTACGTTTGTGATTTTGAAAGGCCTTGTCTTGCCCAAGTTCTTGTCACTCCGGGCCATGATACCCATCATCCGCCCAACTTGTTTTCACTGTGGCTTTCAATTGCGCGTTGAGTTTGGGCTTTCTGTTGCAGGTCAGCCGTGTTTGCATAGTCCTACCTCTACATGTGATCACATGGCCATTTTTATTTTAAATTAACTGGCCGATTTGATGTTTTTTGGCACACGTCTTTGCAGTCTTCACCAACCACTTGCCTTCTCCAGCCTTTCCAGCGTTCTCATCGCATTAGTTCTCATAAAGTGCAGGTATCACCGAGCCTCGTTTTTCCTTTCACGTTTTCCTTTCCACTTTATGTTTGTTTTTGTGCTCTCTTACTTCAAATTGTTCGTTTTCCCATGTTTTGTCCGATCTCATTTTCTTTGTGCTTTATTCCTTCTCATCCTGAATTCCCTTATCACATCCGTCGCATCGACGAAGGCATTTTTCCACGCCCGTGGCCACTCAGAATCTTGTGTTGGTTTCTCAAACCACGCCCTGAAGTCTCTCTATGTGTGTTCCGGAGGCAACCTTCACACAAGCTCATGTTTTCTAAATTGCTTTGGTTTAGATCTTGTTGTGTTCCTGACTAAATGTGCAACTCTCTCCCTCTCTCTATGCTATTCTTTTGTTTGGTGTATTTTGGTTTATTCGCATGCTGTTTTGCGCTGGTCCCTGCTTGCATGGCTGCAGATTCCTCCAAACCATAACCTTGTTGAATCATGTCCTCTTCATTGACAAGACGCTTTGGAGGACGCTCAGATACTGTATGCATCTTTTTGCAGAAGTAAATCCATTCGGAGGGCCATGACATTATGTACGCATGCAAGGAAGGGCATGGCAGGATTGCCAAGACATTGAACGGAATCTGCCGGACAATGACACCCTATCAAGAGAACGACCTAAAGGAACAAACCACTCAATACGGTACTTACAGGATATCCAATCCAAGAAAACCTTCTACAGGAGTAACTATGCCATTTAATTAAAAAAAACTTACATTAGTGCAAACTTACAAATGTGTTCCTCTGAAATTATGTGGGTTTGTTCTTTCTTTTGTCGTCATGATGTGGTCTTCTGTATTACATTAACAATTTGTATTCGTAAAGTAAGGCTGTAGAGAACAGTTGCTGCATTTGTCCGCGCATTTCAATGCGTGGCTTTATCACATATTGAAGAAAGGACACATTTTTGGAAGCAAGGCCTATAAATTCAGGTCTATACTCGGTGAATTCCTGCAACTATCTACGTTTGTGAAGAGCAGAGGGATTTGCTTTTTTTTTTTCAAATACAGTAGTATTGTATAGGACAGGGTTTAAGAATAAAGTTAGTTATGTAATTATGTAATCTCCACGGAAATACAGAGACTACCATTTCTTGCAGCAAGTTCGCGATAAAGTGTGGGTGAATGCATCGCAAACGAGGGGTTCAGCAGTGTTTTTGAAGCAGAGTGGCTGAATATGACTGGACATTTCGAGGCGACTGCGGGCATGGCTTTTTCCACGAAGGATTTGGAGTTGTTGGACGGACATGCCAACCATGCATGGAAGATTGCCACAAGTGCCAAACTTCGACAGAGCAACTCAGACGCAGCCTTTTGAACAAGCTTCTAGGAATCCCCACGGTCCTCAATTTCATGTTCATTGAAGGTGTTTGGAGTGCAAGAATGACAAGTACCTCACTCCCACGCAGGCTGGGCGTGGAACTAGAGATTGACAGAATCACTCACTAGCAGAATCAGGCAGTCTCAGGCAAAAACAGCCATCGTCACGAATCGTCAGTGCACATTTCTTTGGAGTTGAGTCAGATTGTAACTGCGGTTGTAGAGTGCTCTAGGCATAAGGTGCTAATTTGTTGTGGATGGATTGCCAGAGGAGTATGTTGCCCTGTTACCCTTTTGTTGTGGAGGATTGTGCAGATGTATGCCCACTGAGCTACTATGGTGAAGGGGACCAAGCCATTGGAGACTCGGATCCAGTGACGCAAAGTAGAACGCGTTGGTATTTTTGCGTTTCAGATTAGACGCGTTGTTGTTATACGCGTGTTGCTTTTCTTGACTAAGACATACCAAGACCTGTTTTATATGCGATGCTTGCAGTTGGGGGACGATGGCAAAACTGCACGCTGCACGCTCTTTGATACGGAGAGCAAACCTCACCATTGCCTCATCCGTTCAGCAACGTCAGGCAGAACCTGCGAGCCGTGCTCCAAAGACTGCAATCGCTGTGACAATCGTGAGTTTTGTGCCTCATCCACATTTGTGCTAAGTAAGCTATGAGCCCAACATGTGCAGTTTTCTTTGTTTCATTATAAGTAGACAGCTGATACGGGAAGGTGGCTGTCGACTTGAAATTGAGGCACCGAATGCAAGAATTCTGTCTATTTGACATCAGTGCATCAGTGCGAAAGTTTGGGCCCTAGACGTTTCCTTTGCATTATATAGTTCAAAAGTTTAAACTTCAATTGATGCTCATGACTTTAGATCCTTTTTGGAGCATCACATCAATGCCCACCTTGTGCCAAGTCGTGCTAAACTTTGCAACAAGACACAGGAACAAAATCCACAGGTTCGTCGGTTTCTCGATATTGCAAAGGTTGCAAATCACCCGCACACTAGAGGAATTTGTACGCATGGACTGCATCGCTTCCTGTGAATGAGAAAAAATGGCTGAGTAAACCAGGGCACCTCTTAACCTATGCAGCGGTGTTCAATCACCCTAAAACGAACAAGACAAACTAGAATTCTCACGTCTCCAGATTCTAAATGACACGTGACTGCGGAAGACAAACCGATGCAAAGGAAAATTTCTTGTTCTAGTGACAACGGGGCCACAAAAGGAAGTAGGTGGTGATCATATCACAGCAAAACTGAAGTGTCTTCGTTGAGCGGTGACTTCAAGTATGCCAACCGCTCCCCTGCTTTGAAAAAGTCGACAAAAACTTGGAGACCTCCGAAGACAACTTATGACTCCGGGGAAAGTATCGCCAAACGGGTGTGAAGAATCGTGAGGGTGAATGAGGTCCAAAGAGGCGTGTACATGGAGAATTTCACGATGTAGTACCGCTTGAGCCACCATAGGAATGCCCTCCGTCGGCGCCAAGCCAGCGGGTGAGGGGGACATGGCGGGGAGGAACTCATCACTCTAAAGTGCTACGGCTCCAACAGGTTCCACCGAACCTCAAAAGTACTTTGACCGCTGTGGTCACCTTGTGCCCTGCCAAAGTGGCTGGCTGCTTGGACCGCTGCGGTCACGTAAAGGCATGAGCCAGCTTGGAACTCAAGACTTCAACCAGTCTTGGCAAATAACTTTGGCGTAAGCCTCCTGCTGTCCGCTTCGGACACCTACGTTCCCAGGCAGGGGAACAATGGACTAACACCCGTTCGACGGGTCCACAGGGGCACTCCTCGGGCTCACCCTGGACTCTCACTGGGAGAGACACATTTATGATTTTGCATACTGACTTGACAGCGGTGCCACACGCCAGCCTAAGAAACCAAATCCTGAACAGCCCAGATTGAGACCAAAGAATACACGGTTGAGCAACGCACTGCGTTCTGGATGGCCCTTCCTTCCACTGGCGATTCCCGGGTCTGGGAAGTACCACACACCTGCGCCCTTGAAGACTTGGTTCTATACTATGTCAACTCCCGTCGTCTTCGAGTTCTTGGCACCTCCCATGAATACTCACGGGAATCCACACACTTCCCTTTTCGACCACTACACACGGTTGCTCCCCGTCTACACGATGATGCCATATCTGAACTGAAGCTTCCCCTCACAGCCTACCCCTTTTTTGGGGGGAGGCGTGTCTGTGTGTGTGTGTGCCCTTTGTAGTCACAGGGATTCTTTTGAATTGCTTTTAGCAGGGGGACTGGAGCCGATTTGCTTATCCAGTCCAACGAAGCTATGGCATTTCGGTGGATGAGTGGTCTGATCAACCACTTGTGCGCAAATTTTAATCTTTTGGTAAAGTGCCAATGCATCTGCAGTCACGCACGGTACGCCATCATCCCGTCGGCTCGTCGCGTCGTGGAGTTTGATTTCTGGCCTTTAACTAAAGGCGCCTGATGTAGTTCAAAGGCTGGTAAACCAAGAGACTTATGTCCAACTCAAAGCGTACAGTGGCGAGGTACCTCCCGCCAATCAGTGGAAATGAGCTGAGTCAAAGGTTCCGGAACACGAAGTCCAGGGGAAGAGATCATCGATGAGAATTCAGTAACGGATTATGGGGAGAGAGCTGAATGGCTGTGGGAAACAAACATGTAAAAAAGTCTTTGTGTACTGGTGAAATCATGTCATCGGAGGAAATCGTGGAATCAAAAGCATGAGGCCGGAAAAATGAACAACATGAGAAACCAGTGGGTGATTGTTTCCAAGCTGGGGCGTAGCAGATATGTATGGTGAAACAAACTGAAAGACACCTCAGGGAAGCTCTTACGACCTGATAGCTGGTCAACGTGTGAACCAAACCGTCAAGCATGGCGTTTTGTCAAGAGGTGGTCGGGTAGTAGAGGTCGTCACACGAGGCTGTGATCCGGAGTCAGAGCGATGGAGGGAAGTCATGAAAAGGTCGTAGCCCGGTGTGGAAGAAGTCGTAGCCCGGCGTGGAGGTGAAAAAGTCGTCGTCGAAGAGGAGGGAGGACGGGTGTCTGGGTGAGGAATGCGATGGTCTCGAAGAAAGTGAAACCACGTAGTTCAGCTTCCAATTGATCAGTGTCAAAATCCAGAGTGTGGATCACGCCGAAGGTGGTCGTCAGCTCGTGAGTGTAGTGCAAAGCGGTGTGGGTGACTTGCATCGCCTGTCGAATGGCGGAGTCCAAACCACGAAGCTGGACCGGGGAAAGTATCGCCAAACGGGTGTGAAGAATCGTGAGGGTGAATGAGGTCCAAAGAGGCGTGTACATGGAGAATTTCACGATGTAGCACCGCTTGAGCCACCATAGGAATGCCCTCCGTCGGCGCCAAGCCAGCGGGTGAGGGGGACATGGCGGGAAGTGGTGGGGAGGAACTCATCACTCTAAAATGCTACG